TCCTCGGCGTAAGGGCGGCGCTGCTTCATGGTGAAGGCCTCCGTTTTCTGCTCCTCTGCGGTCCACTTCGCAAAGTCGCCCACCATGGTGCCGGCTCCTGTAGACAACGAGCTGTGAACCATGACGGACGCCCCCTTGAAGTCCGGCGCCTTCGCGTTCCGCATCACCGCGGCGTGGATCTGCAAGATCAAGCGACTCATGGAATCGGCGGCCGCACTCTGGAGGCCATTGACCTGGCCGTAGCTCACCAGGTGTTGTAACACCATCAGCAGGTCGCGGTGCACGTGGGCAACAGGGTGCTCGGCCGAAAGCCCTGAGCTCGTGTAGAAGTCGTGGTAGGATCCAACGTCGTGCCCCGAGCCCCTGATGGCCGAGAAGAGTTCCGTGGGAGCCGACGGGCCACGGAAAGGCCAGTCGTCGGGCGGCTTCGGCTTGAAGGGCGTCATCATCGGCATCGCGTCTCGTAGTAGAAGTGAACGGCCTCCACCAGCATCTCGATCGAGGGGGAGAACGCGAAGGTCGCGTCCAGGTCCCGTCCGATTCTCGATGACCCAGGCGCCCACGTCCGGAACGGTGACCCGCTCGATGAGGCTCCAGATCCGCTCTCCCTCCTCCTCGACTTCATGCGAGCCGCGCGTGATGAAGGCGGCGGGGTTCGCCATCACGGAGTCCTCCACCTCGTGCCCAAACTGCTCGTCCGCGGTGTCGGCGTAGTACCACTTCGCGTCCACTCCGCCACCAGCCATAGCAGCCACTCCTCCGACAACCACCGCTGGCTGTCGAGCCTCGCGATGCCAGCCAGCCAGGGCGTCGTCGTCGACGGCCCGGAAGTGCTAGCGGTTGCGCCGCACCCTGGCCGGCGCGGGAGCCCCGCGTCGGCTCGGGAGCACGCGGTTTTTGCGCCAAGTCCACGATCTCGCAAGCACGAGCCGCTCTGAAGTACGTGCTTGCAATGCTCCCTGGAGCACAGAACGGCTAGGAGGAGGAGGAGGAGGAGGAGGAGGAGGAGGAGGAGGAGGAGGAGGAGGAGGGGGAGGAGGGGGAGGAGGGGAGGAGGGGGAGGAGGAGGAGGAGGAGGAGGAGGAGGAGGCGGAGGAGGAGGAGGAGGAGGAGGAGGAGGGAGGAGGAGGAGGAGGAGGAGAAGGAGGAGGAGGAGGAGGAGGAGGAGGAGGGGGAGGACGAGGAGGACGAGGAGGGGGAGGAGGAGCAGCGGGCCCAAGGGCAGTCGAATCGGGGTACAGCACGGGAGGCAGACGGCGCGCGGCGCACGGCCGCGCTCGCTCCGCTCCCTTGCCTGACCACGACCGCCTCCCACAGCAGTGCAACCCAGCAGCCGCCGACGACGACGACGCCGACGACGACGCCGACGACAACCACGTCGTCGTCGACGACGACGACGACAACGACGGCGAGGCGAGGGGAACGACGGGACCAGCACGGAGGCGCGCAGCGCAGTGGGCAGGGAGGGAGCCTGCAATGATCCTGACAAGGCGCTGCCCCACCCGATGGGATAAGCGGCTCCACCGAGGCGCTATCCCGCTTCATAGGCCAAGCTACTTTGACAAGACGCCATCCCGCTTGACGGGATGAACTGCTGGGACAGGCTGCCCAGGAGCCAAAACTTGCAGGAAAGAGGGCAGAAACGAGCAAGTGCTGACTCCATACATCACAGCCCCGCCAGGACCCCCGCCGTTTACGCTTCCTCGGGGCGCCTTGGCTCTCTGGCGGGGCCCACGTGCCCTGAAATCGTACTTCATCTCGCTCAGCGATGCTCATCGCAGGCGCAGGGGGCAAGGGTCCTCACTTGGCCTCTTCTCCGTGTTGCGCGGAGGAGGGCCTGCTTTCGGGGTGCCCATCACCGTGTACATCTGGGTCAAAACTGCATCCGTGGTACGCACCCAGCCCCAGATGTTCGCCCGCCCGTTGATGAAGCAGGTGTGCCCCACTCAAGGAGGCTTTCCGTCCTGCTCATAGGTTGCCTTCACGCAGTAGCAGCGCACGTATTCGCATGCTACCCCTAGAGGCTCTTCTTGTTTGAGACGCTGCACGCACTCTTCCAGCAAGTCTAGGTACGGCTTGCGCTGCCGCTCGTTGGCTAACTGCTGGACCGTCGTCGTGGTCTCGAGCACGGCTACTCCTACTGCAAGCGACGGGGGACCGTGCTCGTGGTCTTTCTTCCTTTCCACGGCCTGCTTGTACATTTGCCCCGCCGCTACTACCATGCCGTTCGTTGAGAGGGTGCTCCCGAAGGAGTAGGCGTGTCGAGAGTAGGCAGACCCCCCCCTCCCTGACCCGTTGAGCACGGTTCAGCGATTCCTTCGGGGGGATCAGGAGGAGCAGGACGAGGAGGAGGAGGAGGAATATTATTGGGACGAAGGAGAGGAGGAGAAGGACGAGGAAGAGGAGGAGGAGGAGGTGAAGGAGGGAGGAGGAGGAGGGAGGAGGACGATTTATCAAGGAGCAGATGCGGGGTGGCCTCCGCAGTCAGACAGCTCTCACCATCGCCAGGCTTAGCCTGGCGAGATGTGGGCGTGGGCACCGCTCGGCGTGCCGCCACGACGTGAGGAGGAGCAGGTGGAGCATGAGGCGGAGGAGGAAGAGGAGGAGGAGGAGGAGGAGGAGGAGGAGGAAGAGGAGGAGGAGGAGGAGGAGGAGGAGGAGGAGGAGGAGGAGGAGGGAGGAGGGCATCAAGGAGCAGATGTGGGGTGGCGGGGCAGGAGTAGGAGCAGGATCAGGCGGAGGGGGGAGGGGGACCGGCACTCGGATGTTTGCCCCCCATCCGAACAGATGTGGCACCGACACGCAGACGTGATGGGCGCCAGCTGACCTCACGGCGAGCAGGCTTGAACGGCGTTGCGCCTCCTGCGTGCTCTGCTCACGGTCGGCGCGAGCATGCTTCGCAGCGTGCTCCGGGTGCTGGGCACGCGCTCACATGGAGTAGAGATCCGTGGACCTGGCACGTGGGCGCCAGATCCGCGGATCGGGGAGGCATCCCTCGAGACTCGAGGCCAAGACCGTCCGACTTAGCGGCGGAGCGCCACCGAGCGCGCCGATTCTGTGCGGAAGCAGGGCCCGTCGCCAATCCGCACGTCGCAAGGCAAGACGGGGCTTTGGCCGTCCCCCGGAGAGCGCGCGGGGAGGGGGAGTCAGAGCCTCGTGGGCCGTGCGGTGCCTGCGGGGTGTGCTCAGGTGCGGTGCCTGCGGGGTGCCCGGAAGGATGCGACGTCTGGCAGGTTCGCGCGATCCAGAACACCAGATGCCCACCCGTCGGTCGGAAGAAGTGGGCAGAAACATGACAGTAGGAGGGCGTTGGAAGTAGATTGGGCTTCCGCCCGCCCCCTGAAGAGGAAGGAAAATGTGAGACCAATCGATCCTTGAAGCAGGAAGGCGCCTACAGTAGACTGGGATCTGGGGATCCAAAATACCGACTTTCAACGACCGACGCGCACCCCTTCACGGCCCGTCGGCCAGCTGCCCCGGCCCGTCGGCAAAGCTGGGCGGCCGCTCTGTCCCTCGGGCTCCTCGGGCAGCAGAGAAGGAGGAGGAGGAGGAGGAGGGGGAGGAGGAGGAGGAGGGGGAGGGGGAGGAGGAGGAGGGGGAGGAGGAGGAAGAGGAGGAGGAGGGGGAGGAGGAGGAAGAGGAGGAGTCCCCCGGGCCAGCGCGCCCCTCGGGCTCCTGGAAGTGGGGCCTGGCCTCCGGCACCCGCGAGGCCTTCCTCGCGTGCTGCACGCGCCAGCCCCCTGGGCCAGGCTCTGTGAGACTGGGGGCCCACGTGTCTTGCGCGGAGCGGGCGAGCGCGAGCTGCCCGGCTGCCTCCGGCACCCGGGGGGGGGGGGGCAGAGGCTGGCAGAGGCCCGGTGAAGGACGGTTCCCTAGACGCGGTGCGGGCCCTGCAGGGCCGGGGGTCAAAGTGCGCCGCAGCGCGTAGGAGGGCCCTCGCCTTCGCGAATCTCCTCCCCTCGTCCTCCTTCGGATGCCGCAGTCTCAACAAGCGTTCTTAAGGCCCCCCCTTCGTTGTTAAACCACCTTCTGAAGACAAGCCCACTCTTCTTGAGGAGCAGAGGACCTTCCCAAAAGAGGCCTGGTGAGGAGCAGCGGGATGAGGAGGGGCAGGAGGAATGGGAGGAGGCCCCGATCCTGGCAGGATGGGGAGGAGGAGGCCTGAGGACGGGGAGGGGCAGGAGGAGGCGGCGGCCTCGACGGATGTTGGTCCAGGCATGCTGCCTTTCGGCGAGGGGTATGCTTGCCCGAGGTTTCGAGGCTCCGAGGCCCCGATTATGGCCATGCGTCGGCGGAGTGGTCCACTGTCACAAGTCTTGCCCCCTCACGCTGAGCCCGCGTCGCTGGCAGAAGGCCACCGTATGAAGCCCAAGCCTGAGCTGCGTGGTCCGGGTGCGATGGCATGCGCATTCGACCAAACTCGCCCTCGCCAATGCGGCAACGCTGCAGAACTGAGTGCAAGCGACATCCTCGCAAGGCCAGGATCACTCATTGCATCCACACTGGCGAATGTGGTGATGATGATGGTGACGCTGATGACTATGTTGACGACGACACCACGTCAAAGAGGGGTGCCCCACGCGAGTACGATGAAGATGCGGCGGGAAGAGTGGCAGAATGAGGCAGAGGAAAATGAGGAGGCAGGAGCAGGAGGAGGAGGAGGAGGAGGAGGCGACGCACGGCGGCGAAGGGACGACGGAGGGACTAGCGGGGACGAGCAGGGAAGCAGGAGCGAGGAGAGAGAAGAAGAGGAGGAACACCAGGAGCAGCAGGGTCGGCCCGCGGGGCGGGGGGAGGGCGGGAGGGTGGAGCGAGGCGGGGAGGGGAGGGTGGGAGCTCCCCCTCCTCCTCCTCCTCCTCCTCCTCCTCCTCCTCTTCCTTCTCCTCCTCTCCTGGGGGGGGAGGGGGAACGGGGAACGGTGTGCAGGAGGAGCGGGAGGCGCGGAGGCGGGAGGAGGAGGGCTGGGCAAGGCGCGGGAGGAGGGGCAAGCTCCGCGCGCCTTCTCTGCTGCTGGACCCGCGCGGCCCCGCGTAGGCCGCAGGAGGCCTGCTCGGGGGGGGGGGGGGGGGGCCGCGTTCACCCCTCGTCCTCCCTGTCCTCCTGTACCTGCTGCACTTGCTGCTGCTGATGCTGCTGCTGCTGCTCCTCCTCCTCCTCCTCCTCTGTACCACCTCGCGCCCACCAAGGATCGGGACACTTCCAGCCGAGAGAATCTGGGAACCTGTTACCCGGAACCCGGAGGGAGACGTGGGGGAAGGGAGGGGAGAAAGGAAGGGACGAATGGGAGAAGAATCGTACGTATGATTACGTATGGGAGGAGCAGTTTTCGGCTCCCAGAATGTCTGCTTCATCATGCGGGCGTGGGTCCGAAGCAAAGGGGGATGCTGAGGAGCGAGGATAGAGAAGGAACAGGAGGAGGAGGAGCGAGGATGCAGAAGGAACAGGAGGAGGAGGAGGAGGAGGAGGAGGAGGAGGAACAGGAGGAGGAGGAGGAGGAGGAGATCGTACCCCCCCTAACATCCCCTCCTTGCACCTCTCCGCCCGTGCTCGACGAGCTGGGCGCGGATCAGGCAAGTGGGTCTCCACACGGCGCCCGCAGCTCGCGGTCTGTCTGTCGCCTACCGTGCACACCTCCCCAGAGAGCGGCACGGAATCGAGCGGGGTGGAGGAGGACTTCAGTTTCAGTTCAATTCAGCCTGCGTGCCAGCTCCGATGGAGCGGTCCCCTGAGGGGCAGGCGGGACATAAGTGTACAGCATGCGTGGAAAAACTGCGCGCATGGACAAAAGATACATGTGGCAACTGATCAGACTAAACAAGGAGGAGGAAGAGGAGGAGGAGGAGGAGGAGGAGGAGGAGGAGGAGGAGGAGGAGGAGGAGGAGGAGGAGGAGGAGGGGAGGGAAAGAGAGAGAGGACAGAGGCTGCACTACCTACTGCTCCTGCTCACCAAGAGAATCTTGCCAACGTAGATGAGGCCGCCCGACTCGTCGTTTGGGTTGGCATCGGAACCACGGTGTCCACTTGAGCAGTCTGTAGCTCCACTTGTCCGGGTTCCCTTGGGACGCCTTCTCTGCGAACGTTGCCTTTCTGGTCATTTGCGCCGCCACCCAATTGACGTGCCCCCATTCGGCATACTTCGAATCCACTCTCTTGGTTGCTCTTTGAATCTAATCTACCCACGTTTCGTCTGCAGCACGTGAAACCCGAAAGATATGTCTGGTCATCTTTCGCCACGTTGTCCGTAGCTTATCTTTGAACCCCTGTGTCAAAGTCCAACATTCGCATGCGTACAGAGCCGTCGGGGTCACGACAGCGTCAAAGAGTTTGGAGGAGGAGGAGGAAAAGGAGGAGGAGGAGGAGGAGGAGAAGGAGGAGGAGGAGGGTCGGGCGACTGCCGAGACGGATCAGAAGACGTGCCCAACCGAACAGCGCCGTGCGCGAAGATCTTGCCAACGGCGACGCGCCGGCACGCATCGCCGTGCAGCACCGACCGTGACGCGGCGTGCACTCGCCATCGCTCGGACGTCCATTTCGTGTTTTTCTTTGGTTTCGTGCGCGGTTTTTTCGCCAAATGATCAAGGATGCTGCTCGGTGGTCCTCGCCGAAGGAAAAATGCACACGTCCGAGCGATGGCGAGTGCACGAAGCAAGCTGGCTGGCTTCGGGGCCCGGGAGCTCCCCGGGGGGGAGAGCAAAGAGACCCCGCCCTCGGACAACCCGAAAACTCACGCGCGCCACGCGCGCGCTGAGGTTCTGATCGAGCTGCCCGCTGGCTCGACCAGGGTGGCGGGGCGCCTCCTCCTCCTCCTCTTCCGTTTCCTCCTCCTCCTCCTCCTCTGTACCACCTCGCGCCCGCCAGGGATCGGGACACTTCCGGCCGAAAGCATCTGGGAACCTGTTGCCCCAGTCCTCTGTCCCGCCCTCCTCGTCGCCCCCCATCCTATCATTGCTCGCAGTCCGGCTTTGCGCGCAGCCAGGCTTGGACGCGTCGGCCACGCGTCCTCGGGGGAGGCCCGAGACGACACGATGGGGAACGACAGGAGCTGGGAGGCGCGGGATGACAGCGCGGGCGACGCGCGGTCGAATGCTTTCTGCCCAGATCTACCGCCCCGCAAACCGTCTGTCTTCAGAGAAACACCTTTTCTCTGAAGACTGCTTGCGGGAGAAACCCTCTTTTTTGTCTGGGCAGGAAGCTATCGACACCAAGAGTGCAGGAACAAAAAGAAGGATCGGAGGAAGGAGGCTGACATGAGAAAGGATGACGCGAAGAGAAAGGATGAAGGGGCGGGCAGGCTACCTGAGGATTGCGGAACTGAAGGCATCAGCAGCGTCCTCCCCCTCCAGTTCCGCAGCGGGATATGGCGGCGGGCGCGCGGCAGCGCCAGGGCGACAGACGTCTTTACTCGGTCACGCACCCCTGCAACCAAATCGTCTCAAGCAGGCTGCGAGCCAAAAAGCAATGGTCGAGCTAGCGAGAAGGGGATAGAGAGAGAGAGAGAGAGAGAGAGAAACAAATAAACAGAGCAGGGGGCGAGTCTGGGCCTGGGGGCCGCGTTTTTCGACAAGGATGACGCGAAGAGAAAGCATGAAGGGTCAGGCTTGTCTGTGCGCGCTAGGCTCAGAGCGTGATGGGCACTTCTGCTGCCCCAGGCGCGCCGAAATTCGTAATCGAGTCGGGGGGCGCCACATCGAAAAGCGAGGTGCGAATCCCTGGCCAGGCCACGAGCATGCGTGGGGAAGAGGCATATGCGAGGACCCCAGCCTCACCCTCCTCCACCTCCTCCACCTCCCTTTTTCCTGCGAGGCCGCAAGCGTTGGTCTGTGGGAGGGATGGGTCACAGAAGAGGTTTTTGTAGACGGCTCCCTGCTCTAGGGGGCCTACGAGGGCATCAGAAGAGCGGGCTGCACCTTTGCTACGCTCGACGAAGAGGGAACTTTGGAGTACGCCATGCTTGGCCCCCTCCCTCCACAACCGACGTTCGAATCTATCAAGCTCTGCCTGTAGCTGTCGTTCCGCTTGTGATACTCAGACTGTCAGGCAATCGTCGAGGGCTTCGCGAGAGGCTGCGCATGGGGCCGCAGGCCAGGCCTGGCTACATCCTGGCTCTGGCAGCAGTGCTGGCACGTGATCGGGGAGCTCGGGGGGCTCGAGCGCTCTGCGGTCACCATCACCACAAATAAAAGCCCACGCCGCTCGGACACAACGCGCCGAGGTGGGGGCCAGGGTCTGGGGAGGGGAGCAGGGCGGCAGACAAGCACGCCGAGCACGGCGCCCAGCTGCAGCAGCACAGCGAGTGGCAGCGGAAAAGGGTACATAGACAAGCTTCAGCTCGTCAGTGGCATTGTCGAGATCGCGGCTCGTGCAGGTGCGGAGTCTCACGAAATTCAAGACACATCTCGGGAGAAGGCACAGGCGCGCCCCCTGAGCCCGAAACTCAGCCCGTCGAAGTCCCACCACCACCTCCTCCTCCTCCTCCTCCTCCTCCTCCTCCTCGGAGCCTTCCTCTCCTGATCGAAGATGTGAACGGTGACGATGTGAGCGGTGACCGGCGGGACTCCCTAATCAGTCAGGCAAGGAGTTTGGGCCACCAGATCGTGGCCCGTGCTTCCCATGTTTTCTGTCAGCGCTGCTTCTGCTACGCAACAGCGCGTTGGCTGGCACTTAAGCGGCGTTGTGCACCAGCGAATTCCAGGACTCTCAGAGGAAAAATCTCACCAGGTTTTGTGACGGACGTCGCCCGACCACAGGCCAAGCCCTTCAAAGCAGCATGCCCCTACAGCTCGGGCAGGCCGTGTATAGGAAGTTTGCACCACCTGTCAGGGCCCTTACACGTAAGGCCCCGAACGCAGCGCAGTCGAATACTCCTCCTCCTCCTCCTCCTCCTCCTCCTCCTCCTCCTCCTCCTCCTCCTCCTCCGCGCGTCCCCCAGTGCAGGCAGCGAGGCGAAGGCCCACGGCGAGGCCTGCGCGGGATGGGCAGACCATCCGGACCCAGCGGAGCGCCGGGCGCCGTGCCCATCATGGCCGCGCGCTCCTCGCGCGGGGCACCGGCCCTCCTCGACCACCCCGCGGCGTTCTCCCTGCTGCTCCTCTGCCCTCGCCGTGCTGCTCTGCCGCCCGCCCTCCCCGCCCCTTCCCCCCCCATCCCTCCTCCCGGCCTTCCCAGGAGGCTCGAAAAGCCCTCCAGCCGTCTGCGGAGTGTCCGAGGCCCCCCCCCCCCCCCTGCAGACGCAGAAGACCCTCTCAGAAGGCCGGGGGGCGGCGGGGCTCGAGCCCCGCCGCCTTCCGAGGCGGCCTCCTCCTCCCCACTTCCCCCCCTCGCTCGCCGCCGACCACGGGGCGCCAGAAGGCCCCGGGCAGGGCCCCGATGCCCGACGGGCCTCCGCCTGCCGACCCGAGGCCTCTGCGGCCAGCGCCAGCGGCAGCCCCTCGCTCGCCGCCGGCGACGGGGCACCAGAAGGCCCCCGAAGAGGCCCCGAGCACAGCTCCGGGGGCAGGGCCCAGATACCCGAGGGCCCTCCGCCTGGCGACGCGAGGCCCCTGCGGCAGCACCAGCGGCAGCCAGCGCTGGCCAGAAGCAGCCAGGGCGCAGCGCGCCATCCGCCCTCGCGCCGCCGCCGAAAGTAGAGGTCAAAAACCCACCCCCATGAGAACCACCCCGACACGCGAAGTCGTTCAGGAAACGCGCCCCAAAAAGGAATCGAACGGGGCAGGGCTGTCTAGCCAACGCCCCAGGCCGTTCAGCAAACGCCAGCTGTCCGGCCCGGGTGGGTTTTCTAAAACGACGCGAAGATCGGGGCAGAATCGGATCGGGATAACTCGAAATCTCTGAGAATCGGCGGGCTTGGAGGAGGTATTGGGCGCCGCGGCCGCTCCAGAGCGCTCCGGAACGCTCCGAGAGCGCTCCGGGACGCTCGAGCGATTTGTCCCGATCCTGGCCCTGTGTTATCTCCCTCCCTGGAGAGCAGGGTCGAGACATCGACGTGGGGGCCACCGCCCCGACCGAGCCACGACGTCGCACGGCCTGGCTGGCCTCTGGCCAGGGCACGGCGCGCTCCTTCCCTCGCCCGCCGCCGACGAGGCCCAAGGGCCGAGCCAGCCCGGGGGGGCGCACGCCTCGACCGAACCACGCCGCCGCACGTCCTGGCTGGCCTCCGGCCTCGCGAGGGCCCGCCTCGCCGCGCGCGCCCGCGGGCTCTGAAGGGGCGCCAGGACACACAAATAAACGCACACACAAATAAAAGGATTCCCCATCTTTTCCTATATGTTCTGGGCTTCTGTCTCCCCCCCCCACTGCCCACATTCTCCCATATTTCCCTGGGGGTCGACGATTAATTGTGTCTGTGTGTTTTTTCCCTCCTGAGGCTCGGGCGGCTGCGCGCCGGGGCGGACGGCGCGCTCTGCCGCTGGCCGCCGCCGGCCACCGCTGGCGCTGGCCGCAGAGGCCTCGGGTCGCCAGGCGGGGGCCCGTCGGGCATCGGGGCCCTGCCCGGGGCCTTCTGGCGCCCCGTGGTCGGCGAGGAGGGGGCCTCCTCGGAGGGCGGCCCCCCCCCCGGGCCTTCTGGGAGGGTCTTCTGCGTCTGCAGGGGGGGGCCTCGGACACTTCGCAGCAGGCCTCCGAGCCTTCCGGGAAGGCCCGCCCCTTCTCGCTTCGGCACGCCGCCGATCCGACCTCCGACGTCGTCAAGATTTGCTCATCATGGCGACCCATCAGAGGTCTCGACCTACTGCCCAGGATCTGCGCTTCATCCTGAGTGTTGTCGTTGGCGGCCTCGAGGGCCGGCAGAGGGCCCCTGCGCGAGGCTGAACATTGAGTATCGTTTAACCGATCCCCATCCCCAGCGGCGTGGCCTGGGCCCCACTGGCCGATGTACCCCCCTAGATGGGGATACAGGCCGTTCCCTTCGGGTTTCGAGGGGTGCATCCCCAACTGGGGTGGTAATTTGGTGGGGGTCTCAAAGGGGATGGGGATGGGCATCGGATAAACGATACTGAAACATGGTTTGGCTGTTGCTCCGTCCTCCCGGGGCCTGGCGAGGAGCAGCAGCCACGCGACACGAAAAGCGCAGCGCGGCACTGGGAGCGCTCAGCGCGCCCAGCGCTTCGGACGGGGCGCTCTCCGCAAGGGCAGGGGCGGCGGGCGCGCTGGTGTACGAGGAGGAGGAGGAAGAGGAGGAGGAGGAGGAGGAGGAGGAGGAGGAGGAGGAGGAGGAGGAGGAGGAGGAGGAGGAGGAGGGAGGAGGAGGAGGAGGAGGAGGGGGGAGGAGGAGGAGGAGGAGGAGGAGGAGGAGGAGGAGGAGGAGGAGGAGGAGGAGGAGGAGGAGGAGGAGGAGGACACTTGCCGCACCACTCGCCCGAGGACAGGGTGCGGGGGCTGGAAGACGCCATATGTCAACGCCGATCCTGGCCAGGCCGATCCTGGACCAACATCGGTGCGGGGTAACACCCTCCTTGCCGAACCAGGCAGAAGTAGCACGTCGATCATGGGCCCAAGATTAGCCTGGACACCACTGGTGTCGGTGTATAGTCAGGGTCCTCCCTATACTCTGCGGCCTCCTGCGATAACGAAGGGAGGAGGGAAGGGGGGTAGGATCTGCTCAGCGGGTGTACGCAATGGGACCCCCACGGTGTGGACCTCAGGCCTCCAGGCGAAGGCGAAGGGACAGGAAACGGGAAAACTAATCCGCGCGCCCGTAGCCGTAGTCCTGCAGCTCCGGCTCAGCGCGGGACCCGAAACGATGCTGCTGCGGGGGGGGGGTGTTGGGAAACCTGCTGTGGAGCTTCTTCGGCTTCTTCTCGTCCTTCGTGGGCGCCAATGCCCCCTTCGTGCGAGTGTCCTCCTCCTCCGCCTCCTCCCCCTCCTCATCCTCCTCCTCCCCCTCCTCCTCCTCCTCCTCCTCCTCCTCCTCCTCCTCCTCGTCCTCCTCCTCCTCCTCGTACACCAGCGCGCCCCCGACAACGCTTGGGCCCCTGCACACGGGAGCCCGCAGGGCCTCTCGAGGTCCCGCCCGGGCCGAGGGGCAGCAGGGCCCGGCGCAGTGCGCGGGGCGGCCGAGGGAGGAAGCTCGAGAATCCAGAACCGAGGAGCGCGAGGGAAGCTCGAGGAATCGAGCATCGAGGAGTCGAGGATGCAGACTCGAGGAAGGTCGAGGCTCCAGCATCGAGGGCGGAGCGAGGAATGCTCGAGGAGGGAGGCGGGGAGCACCCCGACGACGGGGGCGGCCCGCCGGGCGGCGGAGCCGCAGGCCCTGGCGCCTCGTCGGCGGCCAGGCCGGCAGGGCCACGCCGCGCGGCTCCGCCAGGGGCAGCGGGGCCGCGGCGGGCCCGGGCGGCGGCGGCGGCGGGCCGGGCGCCGACGAGGCTCCAAGAGATCTCCCAAGGCGGCCCCAAGAGGCACCACTCGTTGTCTTACGATGGGGCTCTGACGGGTTTTCCTTTCGTGTTCGGCCTTTTGCCATCCCGATGCTCCCGGACGGCCCAAGAGGCTCCCAATGCCGCTCCAATACAGAGGAAAAGGTCTCCAAGAGGGCCCCAAGACGGCCCGCGAGGGCCCCAAGACGGTGCTGCGGCGCGTCGGCCAGTCGCGCAGGGGCGCTGCCCTCTCTCCGGTGTCGGGGGCGGGAGGGAGAAGCTCGAGGAGTCGAGCATCGAGGACTCGAGGATCCAGCATCGAGGAAGGCCGAGGCCCCAGAATCGAGGGCTGGCCCCTCGGCCCGCGGCAGCCGCCGGAGCCTCGAGCACCGGAGTCCGTGAGCCGTGCCCAGGGGCCCGCGCGGCGGCTTTCCGTGCGCGAGGCCAGAGCCGTGTGGGGAGGGCCGTGCGCGCGCAGGTCTCCTGCGGGGCGCTGGGTCGCCGGCCCGGGCGGCTCCAGCGGAGAGCCGCACGCGGGCACCCGGGGCCCCGAGGTCCACGAGCAGGTCTGGGGCACGGGCTGGCCTCCCTTGCTGCGGCCCGTGGCGGCGCCTGGGCCGCCACGGGCCGCTGACGTCAGGAACGGGGAACAAGGCACGGAGCCCCTGCTTGGCCCCAGAAGCGCCAGCGTGCACGAGGAGGGCTAGAGGAACAGCCACAGAAGGAGCATCGAGCCCCTCTCGCGCCCAAACTGGCCCCAGACATGCCACGTCCTGATTTTTTCAGGACGGCGTCCCCAGAAGTCCGGACCCTTCCACCAGGTCCGGCTTTTCATCCCGAGGCGTTTTGTTGACGCTCCCGAGGCCCGGCGAGGGCCCCCAGGGCCTGAAAATGGTGAAAAACCGCCGGCCCTGACTTTTGTTCACGACGCCATCATGTCTGGGGCCGTTCTTCAAGCGTCGTGGCTGCAATCTTCATCGAGGCCTCGCAGCCGGCCTTCCGCGGCTGCTCCGAGCTCCAGGCGAAGAGCCCCGGGTGAGGACGCCCTGGCCATCGCTCGGACGTCCATTCCCTGTGCTTTGTTTCGGTTTCGTGCGTGGTTTTTTCGCCACATGATCAAAGATGCTCCTCGATGGTCCTCGCCGAAGGACAAATGCTCACGTCCGAGCGATGCCAAGCCCGAGCTCAAGAGGCGCAGCGCCATCGGCCCTGCCGCGCCGCGGCTGTGGCTGCTCGGCGCTCTTCGTGCCCCACGTCCCGACCAGCCACAACTGGGGGAGCTGTGGTCCGTACCCCCCCCCCCCTGGGGGAACCCATCGCCTCGACGATCTCTTGGAGAGGGGCGTCGAAATCGAGGGGTCCCCCAGGGGGGCAAGGACCACAGATCCCCCAGCTGTGGCTGGCCCGACGTCGCCGCGGACGAGCAAACGCAGCATCAAGACGAGGCGCAGGTCCTGGACGAGGAGGGCGGCCCCTCTGCGGCGAGCTCTGGCGGGGTCCCCCGCGGCTCCGAGCTCAGGGCGCAGATCGTGGACCAGGGAGTGTGCCCCCTCTCGGCCCCACCGCGGCGGCGGCCCTGGTCCTGGAGGCCCTTGGAGCGTCGAGGAGCAGAAAAGGCAGGAGAACGCCCAAATCCGTGGAAAACCTGCGGGGGGCCACTGATTCTTGCTTCCTCTGGGCAGGCGCGCTCCACTGCTCGCAGAGCCACTACTCGCAAATGGCCCTGGAGCCGCCGTGGGGGATTCGCGATGCGGTACGTCGAGGCGAGCGCGTTTTTGTTTTGTTGTCTGACGTTTGCGAGTAGGCACTTTGCGAGCAGTGGAACGCGCTCGGTGCTTCTTTTTGGACGCCCGAAATGGGTACCGAAAAAATGGGTACAATGCCTAACAGCAAATGTTGTCCCAAACCAACAGCGGCCGCTGTTGGGTAGGCGGCCCTCTGTCTCGAATGGACGCAGGCCGCGGCGGCGTGGACAGCGAATCCTGTCCAAATTGAACAGGAACTGCGGTCTTTCAATACCCATTGCGGGCGTCCAGATTCTTGAAACCCCGGCAGACCGGTTTGGGGACTCATGCGGTTTTCCGAGGATGTCTCGGACACTGGTGGGTCCAGGAGTCACAAAACCCGGTGGTGACCCCGCGTCCCCAAACCCAGCGGCGACCTTTTTGGGGATTCCAGGTCGCCACCTGGTATCTCACCACCCGGTCTGGGGGTTCCCAACTTCTTGAAACCCCAGCAGGCCCATGCCGGGAGCCGGCCCCGAGCGATCTCTGGAGGCGCGCCCGGCCGCGGCGACGGGGCGCGGCCCGCCGCGGCGACGGGGCCCCGCACTCCGAAGAGGCAGGCGCGCAGGGACCGCCCGTCCGTGCTCGAGCTGGGCCCCGCCTCGGCGACCGAGAGCCCGCTGACTCCTCCTCCGCCCGCTCCTGTTCCTCCTCCCCTCCTCCTCCTCCTCCTCCTCCACCCCCTCCTCTTCTTCCTCCTCCTCCTCCTCCTCCTCGTCCTCCTCCTCCTCCTCGTCCTCCTCCTCCTCCCCCTCCTCCTCCTCCTCCTCCCCCTCCTCCTCCTCCTCCTCCTCCGGTCCCGCGCGGCAGGCGAGGCAGAGGAGAGCGCCGAGCCATCCAGAAGCAGCCGTCGCGCACGGGGAGGGCCAGAGCGCCACGGAGTCCGACGGCTCGGGCGGAACCCGGAGGGCACCCACTATTGCGCCTGCCTCGATCCTGACCAGGCTTATCCTGAGCCGAGGATCTGAAGGGGCCTTGGGACACACACATAAATACACACAAATAACAAGATTCCCCATATTTCCGCATATTCTCTGGGTTTCTGTCTTCCCCCCCACTTCCCATATTTCCCCATATCTTCTGGGGAATCGACGATGAATTGTGTCTGTGTGATTTTTTCTCCTCCTGAGGATCGGCGCATGTGTATGTATATGGCCGGCTCCGGAAACCCTGAGCCCAACAACGTTGTCATCTCTTGGGCGCATCTCTTGCTTCCGCTGGCTGAAGCTGGCCTTCCGCCGGCAAAGCTGGGCTCGTTTTCCTCGCCGCCGCCTTCCGCATGCCTGCCGCGAGATGTCAACTTCTTCGATCCTCGAAGGCGAGGCTCTTTCGGCGGTAGACAAACCTCCCTTCAGTAAACCTTCCTTTAGCGAAAACGGCCTAGGACCGAAACCGACGGACCTGGACCCGCTAGAATGACGGCCGCGACGCACTCTCGCGAGCCAACTAACGGCCAATTCGCCAATCGACGTGTCAGGACAGGAGGTCTATCCGCCCCCGACCCTTTCAGGAATGCCTCATGTAAGACTGGTCTTGCGTCGGGCCTGTCCCCCTACAGGGTGATTTTCGACGGAAAAACACATTCCCCCAAAATACCCCCAAAAAGGTAAAAAAAAAAAAAAAAATGTTTCAAAAAGTCCCCAGGCTATTTTTGGACCATGTTTGGATTATTTTTCCCCACATCCTAAGTGGGGTTCTTGTTTTCTCTGCACACCCTCCGCGCAGGATCTCTCGTCCTCCTCCCTCTCCTCTGCTCCTCTTTGCTTCCTCCTCCGCATCATCATCACCATCACCATCACTCCCCACTCATCATCATCATCATCACCATTAGCATCACCATCACCATCGCACGATCACTCACCATCATCGGCATCGAACGATCATCATCATCATAAATCATCATCATCATCATCATCATCATCATCATCATCATCACTACTCGCTGACTCACCATTTCGTCCCCATCATCATCACCACCATTTACCATCATAATCGCACGGTCACTCACCATCAGCACTCATCATCACCACCATCATCATCATCATCACGTCGTCATCATCACCACCACCACCATCATCAGCATCATCATCATTATCATCACCATCATCATCATCATCATCATCATCATCATCATCATCATCAATCATATATCATCATCGAACACCGTCGTCATCATCCCATCACCATCATCCACCAAGAGGGAGCCTCGTCTGTGAGTGAATTGTGAGGAAGTCTCAGGCGGGAGCCCCCTCCCTATGGGGCCCGCAGATCATGTTACTAATCCGAGCGGGTCATCGGATTCCTGTAACTGTCGTCACTTTTGGGCTCCTCAGGTCTGAATTTGGAGGAAATATCAAGCGGGAGCCTCGTCTGTGAGTGAATTGCGAAGAAGTCTCAAGCGGGAGCCCCCTCCCTATGGGGCCCGCAAATCATGTTACTAATCCGAGCGGGTCCTCGGATTCCTGTAACTGTCGTCACTTTTGGGCTCCTCAGGTCTGAATTTGGAGGAAATATCAAGCGGGAACCTCGTTTGTCAGTGAATTGCGAGCAAGTCTCAGGCGGGAGCCCCCTTAACTATGGGGCCCGCAGGTCATGTTACTAGTCCGAGCGGGTCATCGAATTCCTGTAACTGTCGTCACTTTTGGGCTCCTCGGGTCTGAATTTGGAAGAAGTATGAAGCGGGAGCTTCGTTTGTCAGTGAATTGCAAGCAAGTCTCAGGCGGGAGCCCCGTCCCTATGGGGCCCGCAGATCATGTTACTAATCCGAGCGGGTCATCGGATTCCTGTAACTGTCGTCACTCTTGGGCTCCTCAGGTTTGAATTTGGAAGAAGTATCAAGCGGGAGCTTCGTCTGTGAGTGAATTGTGAGGAAGTCTCAAACGGGAGCCCCCTCCGTATGGGGCCCGCAAATCATGTTACTAATCCGAGCGGGTCATCGGATTCCTGTAACTGTCGTCACTTTTGGGCTCCTCAGGTCTGAATTTGGAGGAATTATCAAGCGGCAGCCTCGTCTGTGAGTGGATTGTGAGGAAGTCCTAGGCGGGAGCCCCCTCCCTACGGGGCCCGCAGATCTTGTTACTAATCCGGGCGGGTCATCGGATTCCTGTAACTGTCGTCACTTTTGGGATCCTCAGGTCTGAATTTGGAAGAAATATCAAGCGGGAACCTTGTCTGTGAGTGAATTGTGAAATAATATCAAGCGGGAGCCCCCTCCCTATGGGGCCCGCAGATCATGTTACTAATCCAAGCGGGTCATCGGATTCCTGTAACTGTCGTCACTTTTGGGCTCCACAGGTCTGAACTTGGAGGAAGTATCAGGCGGGAGCCTCGTTTGTCAGTGAATTGCGAGCAAGTCTCAAGCGGGAGCCCCCTCCCTATGGGGCCCGCAGATCATATTATTAATCCGAGCGGGTCATCGGATTCCTGTAACTGTCGTCACTTTTGGGCTCCTCAGGTCTGAATTTGGATGAAGTATCAAGCGGGACCCTCGTCTGTGAGTGAATTGTGAGGACGCGTCAGGCGGGAGCCTTCCTATGGGTCCCGCAGCTCACGTGGTTCCTCCGGGTCATCCTCCGGCGCGCGCTTCCTCTGGGTCGTCCTCCGGCGCGTATCGGCTGGGACGCACGTCGTGCGCTTCCTCTGGGTCGTGTTCCGCACGAGGACGAGGAGGAGGAGGATTGCCAGGAAAAGGAGGAGGGATGATGCAGGACGAGGCAGGAAAGCAGGAAGAGGAAGAGGCTGAGGGGAGGAAGGACGAGGAGGAAAAGGAGGAGGAGGAATGCCCGAGGAGGCCCCAGTAGGTCCCGGAAGGCCCAGAAGGCTCCAGGAGGCCCCAAGAGGCCCCAGGAGGCCCCAGGAGGGGGCAGGAGGCCTAAGGAGGAGGCAGGAGGAGGAGGAGGAGAGGAGGAGGAGGAGGAGGGGGGGGAGGAGGGGGGAGGAATATGGAAACGAGGAGGAGGAGGAGGAGGAGGAGGAGGAGGAGGAGGAGGAAGCGGATGAGGGAGAGGGAGAGGAGGAGGACAGGGGATGAGGAGGAGGAGGAGGAGGAGAAGGGAGAGGGAGAGCAGGAGGAGGAGGCAGGAGGCAGGAGGGGCAGGGGGAATGGGGGGGAGGAAGCATAACGAGGGGGAGGGGGAGGAGGTGGAGGAGGCAAGAAGAGGAGGAAGAGGCAGGGGTTGAGGCAGAAGGAGGAGCAGACAGGAGGAGAACGAGGAGGCAAGAGTAGGTGGGAGAAGGGAAGGGGCAGGAGGATACCCCCATGCAAGCTAAAGAGATTCTCATGTGGGGTCCTTCCGTCGGAGTATGTTTTTTTTATTTTTTATTTTCTTAAGTCGAACATCCCCCTGTAGGGGGACAGGCCCGCCTTAAGACTGGTCCTGGGCCCAGGAATGGTGTATGTGTGCCCTCCGAGCAGTGGCCCGCGCGGTCCTCCGCGATCCGCTGGTCCAGCTCCCGCGAGCGCTCGCGGAGCTCGGCGGCGACCAGGTGGACCGTCTTGAGGGCGCACCTTCCAGCAGGAGGGGAGGGGGGAGGAGGAGGAGGAGGAGGAGGAGGAGGAGGAGGAGAGGAGAAAGGAGAAGGAGGAGGAGGATGAGGAGGAGAAGGAGGAGGAGGAGGAAGCAGGAGGAGGAGAGGAGGGAGGAGAGGAGAGGAGAGGAGAGGAGAGGAGAGGAGAGGAGAGGAGAGGAGAGGAGAGAGAGGAGAGGAGAGGAGAGGAGAGGAGAGGAGAGGAGAGGAGAGGAGAGGAGAGGAGAGGAGAGGAGAGGAGAGGAGAGGAGAGGAGAGGAGAGGAGGAGGAGGATCGAGGATCGAGGAAGGGGGGCCCGGTCCAGACATGCCCACGAGAACCCAGATCTCTGACGACGCGACTTTGTCAGTCCCGGCGCTTCTCTTCGATTTCGGCCCCTCAGGATCGCCTTTGGGCCCTGGGGCCATCAAAAACGGTTCCGTGACGCAAAACTGCCCCCCGGGGAAGGTGGCGGGACCTTTGTTGCCGCCCATGCGTTTCGTGAACCTGGCGCGCCCCTAGCTGGGCACTGCTTGGTACTGCATTGCTTTGCCTGGCATTGCACTGCGTGGCGTTGCCTGGCATTGCTTGGCGTCACCTGGCAGTTCTCGGTATCGCTTGGCTGATTGCTTGGCATTGCGCGGCAGTGCTTGGCACTGCTTGGCATGCGTGGCGAGGCAGCAGGGAACCCAGACCGAGGAACCATCAAACCAAGGAGCCGCGACCAAGGAACCAAGGAGCAAAGATCAAGGAACTGCAGAACCACGACGGAAGAACCAATGAACCAAGACCAAGGGTTCAATGAACCAAGCAACCCCTGAATGGCAGCAAGGCACCAAGACAAAGGAACCAAGGAACCAAGACCAAAGAACCCAAGGAAGGCCAGCTGGGGCAGGCCCAGCACCCACCGGCTCTTCAAACACAAACACCAGCCCTTCAGGCAAAGCTTAACAGGGGAACGTCTGCCTGGGGGGCGCATGCTACGTTCATGAGACTCCTCGACGAGTGCCGAGTGCCCCATGGAGATGCCGCAAAACGAGGAGCCCACACTCCAAGGAGGTGAGCCCGAGCACGCGGGGGGGCGCATGTTGAGTTCATGAGACTCCTCGACGAGTGCCGAGTGCCCCATGGAGATGCCGCAAAACGAGGAGCCCACACTCCAAGGAGGTGAGCCCGAGCACGCGGGGGGGCGCATGTTGAGTTCATGAGACTCCTCGACGAGTGCCGAGTGCCCCATGGAGATGCCGCAAAACGAGGAGCCCACACTCCAAGGAGGTGAGCCCGAGCACGCGGGGGGGCGCATGTTGAGTTCATGAGACTCCTCGACGAGTGCCGAGTGCCCCATGGAGATGCCGCAAAACGAGGAGCCCACACTCCGAGGAGGTGAGCCCGAGCACGCAGGCCGCAGAGGCCCTCCTCCGAAGCCCTCGGAGCCGGGGCTGCTCTCCACCCCCGCGCTGCCGCAGCCAGAAGCAGCGGGAGCGGCCTCTGTTGCCGCCACACGGCCGGGAGGGTGATGAGGAGGGGGAGGGGGAGGAGGAGGGAGTGAGGAGGAGGAGGAGGAGGAGGAGGAGGAGGAGGAGGAGGAGGGAGGAGGAGGAGGAGGAGGAGGAGGAGGAGGAGGAGGAGGAGGCGGAGGGTTGGAGAGAAGAGGAGAACAGAGGAGGCGGGCGGGCGGGAGCGGGCGGCGCCCGCCCCCCCCTGGCGCCCGCGGGTGCCGACCGGCGGCGCGCCCGGCATGCAGCGGGCCCGGAGTGGCAGGTCGGCCCTGCCAAAGCAAGGGTGCGCGGGTGTCCCGTGTGAGGAGGAGGCGGAGGAAGAGGAGGAGCCCCCCAAGAGAGGGCCGGGGGTCCAATCTTCCAGCTTCCCCTCCGGATCAGGGAACCCCTTTTTCAAGATCGCAGGGATACCCTACCTGGCCACAACTCTGGGCTGGGCACACGGGCTGCCGTCGAGCACGGCGGTGCAAGGGAAGCCGGCACGGCGCCCGCTGCGGGGACCGCCGGCGACCACCACCACAGGGAGGACACGCCCTCGTGGACGCCTTGCGCGTGCCGGCAGTCGTCGAGCTTGAACTTGGCTGCGGCTGATGCGGGCGCCCAGGACGATCAGCTGCAGCGGCTGATGGGCCTCTTTTCCACCACCACCACCACCATAGGTTGGAGGGGGGAAGGAGGTGGAGGACGAGGAGGAGGACGAGGACGAGGAGGAGAGGAGGAGGAGGAGGAGGAGGAGGAGGAGGAGGAGGAGAGGAGGAGGAGGAGGAGGAGGAGGAGGACCCCCTCCCCCTCCAGCTCGTGGTGGTGGTGGTGGGAAACAGTACCACCGGCGGCGGCAGCGACAGCGGCTGCGGGAGGCCCACCGGCCCGCCTCGCGCGGCGCCCCCCCCGCGCGCGGGGCTGCCCGTCGCGGGCCGAGGCGCCCACCGCGAGCCGAGGCGCTTCGCGGGGCGGGCCCCGCCGGGTGGCTCCAGGCATGGCGCGCCTGGCGGGGCCGCGCGCCGAGGCGCGGGCCGAGGCGCCGAATACTTCAGCCTAACTTCAGCCTTGCGTCCTCTCGGCGCTTTCGCTTTATCGCTAACTAACTTCGCCCGGTGCGGCCTCGTCGTCTTTCGTGACTGACTTGTCGGGCCCGAAGCTCGCCGTCTTCTGAGTTTCGCTTTGACGTGTCGCGAGGACAGTAGCAGGCTGGAGCGGTTCGCGGGGCAGGCCCCGCCGGGTGGCTCCAGGCCTCCAGGCATCGCGTGCGCGCGCCCCGCGTGCAGCAGGAAGCGGTGCACGGATCCGCAGGGCTCGTTGCCCTGGGGCGGCCTGGCACGTCTCTCGAGTGCGTGGTCGATCCAGCGCGCCGTCGGCCTGTTTGAGGGGGGCCTTCTCGCAGTCGAAGTTCGGATGCGGGCGCAGATCCTGCGAGAAAGATTGCCACATTTTATTCCGCTGGCGCTCTGTCCAATTCTGTCCGTGCCTCGTGCAAGCCATCTCCAGGCCTGTCGTCGTTGTGTCAATTCAGGGTTACAATATTGAACAAGTTGATGCACTCTTCTGCCTCCCGCGTGCTTCGATCAACCCAGTCAGCCCAAGGAAGAGGAAGCAGCAGGATGGAGGAAGGAGCAACAAGGAGAAAGTAGCAAGAAGGCATGGAAGAGGAGCGGCAACAGTGAGGAGGAAAGAGGACGGAAGAAAGAGGCAGGAATAGCGGAGGAAGGGAGAGCAAAATGATACTAATGAGAAATATGGGACAAACAATAGCACTAAGAAGTAGGAAGAGGAGAAGAGAGAAGGAGCGAAGGATGAGGGCGAGGAGAAAGGATGAGGGAGGGAGGGAAGGAGCCGGAGCGGCATCAGCGGAAGCAGCGCAGCGATGAGAAAACTATGGTGAGGAAGCTGAGAAAAAAAAACACCAGTAGGAGCAGGAGAGGCAGGGGAACTGGGCCTCCTCCTCCTCCTCTTCCACAGCCTTTCCCGCAGCCTGCTCTTGTCTTCCTCCTCCTCCTCCTCCTCCTCCTCCTCCTCCTCCTCTTGTTTCTCCGCCCGGTACGTCGATGTCTGCCAATCCCAATTCGTCCTTGACTGTAGAGACCTCGTGCGCTCGGTCGTCACCCTGCCCGATCAGGACGTGGTAGAGGAGGGATCGAGGGGGGGAGGGGAGAAGGGGAGGCAAGGCAGGAGGAATAGGAGGAAGGGGAAGGGGCAGCAGCAGCAGCAGCAGCAGCAGCAGCAGCAGTTACAGCGGCCGCAGCAGCAGTGCACGAGAGATGATCGAGCAAATGAAACATCTGCGTGCTCATCCTTCACCTCCTTCTAGAATCCTCGTGATACTGCTGCTGCTCCCGCTCCTGCTCCTCCTGCTCAAACTGGTCTTCATTTCCCCCATCTATGCGTGATGCTCCCCTAGCCCATCTGCCCACTGTTCCCCAATCAGTTTGTACCGAAGGGGTCCTCGCGCATGCTGTACTGAGTTGGCGAGAGTTTCGCCGTTAGCTTCGGAAGACTGCCGAACTCCCGTGTTTCCGATTCCGACATTCCCAGTTCCGCGTCCTGGGTTCCCGCGATTGCCGCAGGGACTCTATGAACGTTTTCTCCGCCGATGTCGGTCGGCGGCCAGGCTCCCGGGCTCCCGGATTGCCGAATCTGGGTTCCTTGGTTCTCGGGCTGCTCCTCGAGGCCAGGTTCCTGTGGCCTCGAGAAGAAGACAGAGTAGGGCCTTTCGTCAGAGAGAGTGGATCGTAGAGTGTACAGAACAGGGCGGGACGAACAGAAAGCATATGCTATAGAGACAAGAAGAGAACAACGAGCAGATAGGCGGCCACAGAAAGGAGAGGGTGGGAATTATAACATGGAGGGTAGAGAATGGATGGGACGAGGTCAGGTGGATCAGAGGACACACGTCATAGAGAGTAGACTGTATAGAGCGAAGAGCAGATGTACGAGCGGAGAACAAGCAGAAGACAGCAGGGACTAAATATAGTAAACAGGGAATGGAGACTAGACCACCCAAAACCGACCGACACCCCCCTCCCGGCTCCGACATCCTCACCCCGTGAAACTTCTCCTCTTGGGACCCCCGACCCCACGATTTCTCGCCCCAAACCGACCGACACCCCCCTCCTCACGCCCATGCAGCCACACGTTGGCCCGAAGTCTGGCCAAGCTATTGGACTATGCGTTCCCCCAACCATTGTGGAATCCCTTGGGGGAACACCTGGGAGAGGAAGAGAAATGAGGAGGAGAGAGAGGAGGAGGAGAAGGAAGACGAGGAGGAGGAGGAGGAGGAGGAGGAGAAGGAGGAGGAGAAGGAAGAAGAGGAGGCCTCTTGAGATCCTCTTGGGGCCTCTTGGGGGCTTCCTTGTGGCATCTTGGGGGCCTCTGAGGGGCCTCCCGAGGCCACCCAGGGGCCTCTTGGGGGCCTCTGGGGGCCTGCCTCTAAGGGACCTCTTGGCCTTCGGAGGCCGTCCTGCGGCCCAGCCTGGACAGTCGTGGGTCTCTCTTTGGGCACTTTAG